TTTCATTAAATTTTAAGTAGTAGTGTACTTACTTTCATCAAATTGCACATGTTTAGACAACTTATGCCAAGTTCTGTAATAAAAATGGCTGACTTGAGTTTTCGTCTTCAGATTAGCGTCGTTCATTCCTTTCTTCTTCATCTTGGCGCATATATAAGCCGTTACAGCGTCAAAATCTTTGCCGTATTCGTTCAATGCTTCGAAAAAGAGGTTCTTTTCGTCTGTCGACCAGAGCGCTTTGGGCATGCGTTGTTTCACTGTCGGGAATTTTAAGTCTTTCTCGTCTATCTTGCTTGGCGTTTCACATTCTACATCTGCGGGCACAAACATTTCTTATAAAACATTAGGTAAGAATGTAGAGGCACATTAATTATGGATTTGCGTATATTATTATAACATGATTTTTTAAACTGGGGCAGTATGAAACATTATTAAATTTAACAACCATCTGCTGTCCAGATTTTTTCTTCCGATACAATTAAGTGATCCTTATAGGATATTGATTCGATCAGTACTACAAAAAAAAATACAAAAAATTGACTACGACAAATTTGTTTTCATAAAAAAAACCTAATGGTTCCTAAGACATCCTGTATCCACTACAGTTTCGGATTTTCCCAATATTGTACCTGTCAAATCACACTGAATATAAATTTCTTCATTTAATTTTTTTCCAAGGTCCTAGCTCTACCATCCTATATTATTAATAAAGTTATTTTTAACTGGAATCGACTTTATTTGTCTTTCATTACCTTCCCCTTCAGGTCTTTTCCCAACTCCCTTATCTTTGTACACTGACGGTTCCAGCCGTAATTTTTTTATGACTCTGGCGCTGGTACGTTGCTGCTGTTCCGTAGTAAGTGATCCCAGCAGTTCCGTTCTCTCCGGGTCTGTATTTTGAGGTGGTGGTGTTGGCGACATAGCAGTTTCTTTTATAGTCTGTGGACAAAAATTACATTTTCTTGCAGTAAACCAAAATATCGTCAGAGACATTGCAATTAAGCACAACTTGCATTGGATTATGAGTTTCCATTTCAGTAATTTAGTGGTCAAAACAAATCCGCGTAAATGTCGTGGCAATTAAATTAGCGTGATTTACGGCTTACCTAATGTACAAAAATTTAAGTCGGAGCCATTAAAATAAATAAATAACAACGTTAAATCTCTCGCGTAAAATTGTGGTCTACCAATACTACATACGCGGATTTGCTCTATCCCCGGCGATGTGGTGCGTTCTATTTAACACTGGGACCTGTTCACAGGGAAAAATTGTTCTGTTGAGGTAAATCAAGGTAAATAATTTTTAATTTCCAATATGATAAATTTGTAGGATGATCCAATGTTACCGCCTTGCCCAAAAGTATTGAGTACTCAAACTCATGATAGTTTTCAGTTTTTTCGGATATACTTAATTGAAATAAATTGCAAGTACACTGCCCTCATCGTCATAACTTACGTAATAGATATTACGATTATTAATGCAAAGATGGAACACATAGAACCATTTCCTTCGACCCGATAGGATTTGAACCCACAACCATACCGCACTGTAGTATTGCTCTTACCAACTGAGCTACGAGTTAAGTTATCGTGTTGTCGAAATTTTCCTATGTGTTTTTGTTAAAGATCTGTGTACGGTATTTTTTGGCATTCTTCGCCGCTGGTGACATCTAGTGAGAGATTCTAGAACTGTAACATTATCTGAAATCGGTGAAACTTAAACAAATGATGGCAAATTTTAGTAGAGAGCCTCAAGTTTTTTCTTGTTCTCAGGAAGTACATAATGTAACCAAACCCGGGTCGAAAGACGATGGCGTGATCTTTATATGGTCTGTGAAGGAAGCCTCGTTCCCTGCGGGACGTGTGTAGTTTGTTAATCGATAAAGTATTGCTTTATTAAGACGGGGGTTCAGGCATAAGTCTAATCGTGGTTTAATCCAATGCGAGTGTGGTGGTCCAATATAGTCTATGCAGCACTTGCTGGTGTACCCTTTGTACCCAAATACAAGAAGGCTTTTTTACGTCACTAAATGACGGGACGAACAGTTCGTGCGCCTGGTGGTCAAAAGTAGCACTGTCGCTCAGATCTTTGAAACACAAAGATCTGAAGGGCATTGCCACTACGCCCGCCACCCTTGGATATAAGTTGAGTCCCATGTGCTTGTAATTTCATCAACACCCTTAGCCTTCTAATCCGGAACGCAATAATTCCAAAGTAATTTCCTGGATGAACTATTTGACAAGAACTATTCTGCTATGAAATTTAAAAAAAAACGAACCTATATGCGGTCACAGGTAAAATCAAGATAGAAATATATAAATTTAAAAAAAATTATAATTAAAAGAATTAACACCTATCTACCTACAATATTGAACACGTTTCATTAAAAAAAACAGCTGTTCCTCATGTTCACACAAAGAAGCGACTCGGTTTACAATTTCGAATACCACTTTTCTTAGCCTCTAGTAAACATTTAGTTTCGTAATCTGAACACTAAAAGAGTTTCAGTTAATTTTATTGGACCTTGAATTATGTATTGACAAAGTATTCTTTTTGACATTAATACAATTATGATGTGCCCGCTTAGCGTGTAGTGAAAAGCTATTTATTTAAACGTTAAGGTTAAACTGAAACAATGAAAAGGAGCGTAAAAATTCGCCTTCCGTAATAACTTTAACAGTTGTAGATTACAGAGGCGTAAATAATCTGTAGATCCTTGGAATCATTGAAAACATATCCGGAACAAATTATTGACATTGGAATATATATATATCTTTGTTTCTTTACAAAATGGGATCGGATGCCTCGGTAACGCGGAGCGACGGCATTAAAAAGTGAGTACTCGTGATTTGGGATCTATTGCCAAATGCAAGAAATCTGAAATTGATGTATATATGATAACGATAAATTGTGTCTTATGCACGTAAATGGTAATGCAGAGGTTCCTAATCCTATTGTCTCGTAGGCCACATGCCTATTTTTCTGTTTTGCTTACACGCCCAGCCTTTCTAATATGGTTGTTGTTTTTTAAATTCTTTTCGTTACGGAAATGGCAAAGGTTTAAAATAAAACCATACATAGACAAGTCTTGGTGAATTTTTCTTTTGTTAGCGCCAAGATTTCAATTTTTTTTGTTTGACAAATTCACAGGTGACACATTGCTAATGATTTTGATAGTGACCTAGGCCACATTTTTTTTTCTACAGTTACAATACTACTTCTAATGACGCTAAAGTAGGTACATAATTATTCTATATTTGGATGCTATTTCCACATATGTAAAATATACAATTAAATACTTTTCATAGTACATGAAAGTTGTTGACGTAGTGATATACTAAATACTAAGTGACAACTCATGCGCCTGGTGGTAAGCGACACGCCTGTCAGAGCGTGAGCGCCGCTCAGAGCTTTAAATCGCAAACATCTGAGTGACACCGCGACAGCGCAAGTCACCCTGAGACATAAGTTGAAAAGTTCCATATGCTTATAGTTTCATTAGACCAAAGTTCAAAACTTAAACGCAATAACGCCCACTTTGGGTACTGCTTGGCAGCAGAAATAGGTGCTTCCGATGACGAGCTCTTTCACAAGGAGCTCTACTGATATCAATCAAATACAGAAGACAAAGGCGAAGCAAGGGAGTACACTCTCCACATATCACATATATACTTAGGGCCATTCAAAGTTATAAACAAATCAGTACCAGCGCAAGTCACATTGTCGCTTAGTTTTAGGAGAGATTGTGTATCTATTGTATATGTATAAAAAAAATTTGATGCATATCACTCGTTAACGATTTGACTAGATTAGAAAGCCTCGATGAACCTCCTGCCTTTTGTTTTGAACAACAACGCCGCCCAAGTGCGTATTTTTTCACTAAGTAGTAAAGCATGAGATGATTAGACTGAAGATATTGAAGATATAGTTACCACTTCCACATCTTTTCATTAGACTTTTGCCGCTGTAATACAACAGTCATTGTACCTGTTTTTTTTTTGGGAAAATACTAATTACGCTAACTATCTTACGACGTCAGACATTTTCTGCCGGTTCCGGTTGCGCACGCAGTGGCAGTTATTTTTTTTAATTTTGTTCATAGCTTGAAACAATTTAATTATAAAATGAAACATTTCCCACAAAGCAGTGAGAGGCTACGCGGTGTAGTTCCTTGTAGAGAAGAGTGGTTATTCCGGCTACCTGCGTTGTTAATAGTATTAAGATTGATTTTGTAATAATTACATAGTACGGTAAATACATGACCTACCAAGGTAAGTACTTAACCTTTAAGTGCAATGAAATAACATTTTGCTAACGGATATAGGTATTTACTCGTATAATAAGAAATTCCCGAAAAATCTTGAAATTATCATTTTAGTGGCTGTAGAGCTCCTTGTGAAAGAATTCGTCCAGGGAAATACTGCCACCTTACCTATTTCTGCTGTAATGTGAACTGCGTTCCGGTTTAAGGGTGCTGTTACTACTGACGCATGGGTCTTTTCAACTTATGTTTCAAGGTAAGATAAGATAAATTTATTTCAATATAACTTAATCTAATACAATGTAAGTAAAACAAACGTAAATAAAGCTATTATAGTATTCAAATAAGTATTAACAAGGGAATCTAGATTTTACATTTTTTATAGTAAAGCTATACATTTTAATATTAGTATCTAATATTTAATTCCGATACCTAAATTAAGTAAATGTATACCTCTATTTTAGGCATCATTTTGTGCAAATTTCTTTATATTACAGCTTTAAAATAGATTTTCTATATTTAACAATAAATTAAATAGTTGTAGTTATAAATTAATGGTTACCTATATAAAATAACAAATTGTAATTATGAAACAACTTCCAGCAAGTCCCCTGTTTCATTGTAAGTCTTAAGGTGATGGGCGCAGAGGCAGTGCACCTCAGGTCTTTGCGATTTAAAGCTCCGAATGGCACTGCAACTGTTAGAGACAGGCGTGTCGTTTACCATCAGGAGCATCATAAAAAAAATATTCGCTAGCTCTATTTATTGAGACTAGACTGTATTTTTTATTTATAATTTCAAGTAACGGGACGAACACGTCGTTGGCCTGGTGATAAGCGACACACCTGTTCATAACAGTTGCATTGCCACTCAGATCTTACTAATACAATTATTTCTAAACTTGATGATAAGCAGAAGGTGATTGCTGTCTTCCTCGACCTCGCCAGGGCTTTCGACACTATCTCGATTCCTTTACTCATCAATAAACTTGAAAGGCTTGGTTTTCGAGGTCTACAGCTGGATCTTCTTACTAGTTATCTCACAGGTAGACGGCAGTGTGTGAGGATTGGGGATTGGACCAGCACTGAACTACCGATAACGTTCGGCGTGCCCCAGGGAAGTATAATCGGCCCCACCCTGTTCCTAGCCTATATCAACGACCTCTGTAATATGCAGCTAAACAACAGTTCCATCTTCACGTATGCCGACGACACTGCCTTAATCTTCTATGGCGATTCCTGGGAGTCCGCATTTGACTTTGCGCAAGAGGGTTTCAATTCTGTTTCCAAATGGCTTTCTCACAACCTGCTCACCCTCAACGTGGAAAAAACCATGTATCTCACGTTTTCTCTTACAAGTCGTGGTATACCATCCTCCTCTGCATTCTCGATAACTGCACACTCGTGCCCATCCTTTTCACATGATTCCTGTTCCTGTCCGTCTTTAGTCCGTACACACTGTTTGAAGTATCTGGGTGTCCAGCTGGATAGCACACTTTCCTTTCGCTATCATATTGACGGTCTGACCCAGAGGTTACGTAAATTGATTTTCATTTTTAAACGTCTTCGCCACGTCGCAGATGTGAAAGTTGTAAGACTTGTGTATTTAGCCCTCTGCCAATCACTCACGTCCTACTGCATCTCTGCATGGGGTGGCTCCGCCAAGTCGCATCTTCTT